CTGGCCCAACCTGGCAACCCAGGGGAGGCAGGCAGCACATTCACCGTCAGCAGAAACTGTGTCAATGGTCCTGGGCAGCCACATGGACAATGACTGGTCCAGCACGGAGATGCTGTCAGCCTGCATCACTACATCTTGTGCTTCAAATCATCAATTGTAAACTAAACTGCAAAGATGATCTTAGATGTGGCGTGTTTCTGTAAAACAGACCATGTTAAATGTGGTGTCCTTGTACAATAATGGTCTGGTTTCCTCCTGCCTGTACCAGTGTTTCCTCTCTTTCTCTCAGCTGCTGTCATGCAAGTGGTCGTAGTTCAAAGAAAAAAATTAAGCTGTTTTCTCAAAGCACTCTTGTCTTGACTGATTTGAAGTCTAGATCAGTGGTTCCCAACCATTTTTTCTTAAAGAGAACCCTTTTCTTTTGTTAAGTAAAGTGACGACCCCTGACATATTTTATAAGAGACATATTTTATGGATATTTCATATTATATTGAATGCATAACAGTCACAGTTCAGAACAACAGATAAACTGTACAATTAACCCAAATAGTGAACACAAAGTTTGAGCAGATTTCCCGTGAATATGGATCAAAGATTAGTTTTCCTGATATTTTTAGGAACTTTTTATAAAATTGTCTATGTTAGTTTTTTTTTAACAAACATATATATACTTCATAGGGTTCTTTTTTGAGAAATTCTGTGGTTTTTTTTTTCTCCTTGACACTTGATCATTGTTCTTTTCTAATGCAGGACGAGGTAAAGAGCGAAGGCGCTGTGAATATAGTGTTCAAACTGTGCTCTTATCCTGTGATATTTTCTATCTTAAATAAATAATAATTTTAACTTCAAAATAACAATTTAATTTACAAAGTAATGTAGTCTTGACCAAAATCAATGAAATGCTGAGATATATGCCTACTGTATATATTTTTGAAAGTTTTCTCGTGCCCCTTAAAATAAGAAGGCCTTGCGAACCCCTGTGAAGCTTTGGCGACCACTAGTGGAGATTCCGACCCCCAGGTTGGGAACCAGTGGTGTAGACCAGTGATTCATAACCAGGGGTAAGATTGGTGAAACAAATAGACATTTAAAATCAATTTAAACACATATATATATATATATATATATAAACATACTGAGTTGGCTGTAAGCACCTGAACACCACACGTTGCAATTGAGAGTGTGTAAACTAGTTGACTATAGAATATTAAGCTAAAGATAATGGATAGGTGGTTAAAGCTGTGTCCAGAGTACTGATAAAACCAACCAGTTCAGTTGTATGAAAACTTTATTGTAAGAGTATCCACTTTTATACTATATATTGAAAAGGATTAAACATCCTATTTTAAATTTTAATTTAAAATTCAAATGAACACATTTGGGTCCTGACAATAAAGAGATACTGGAGTTCATCTGACAGGGCTGTGGGGGAATGTCTGATAAAAACCTTGGTAGCCACTGGTCTGGACTTGACTTTTAGCTTGCTATAATATTCATTTTAACTTTCAAACACCCCCTCACATTTGTGCTCCAAATATCTTCCACCATATTTATCATCAAACCTGCTGGTTCTTTAAAAAATTGTCAGCATGCATCTATATTCTGCTCTCTATTTTTAGAGCTGTTGGAGAGAGTACCAGTATGTGCTGTGCAGACTGGGAGCAGAGCCAGTAGGCAATTGATACAATCATATCCTAATTCAGCTACCTTGTGGGTGGCAAACACGTCGTCTCTTCCTCACAAAGATTTGTGTGTAGGTTTAATAAATGATAAAATACTTTGAGAAGAGCACAAAACAATATGCTCTCTACTAAGACAGACAGTAGTGTGATCAAAGATTCACAGACAGGATGACTTGCTCTCTTTTAAATTTTCTGTCATATCAAACGCATCTAACGCCAGATAAACGCCTGCCAACGGTAAGAGCAGACAGGTGAAGGTGAGAGTTTCCTCTAAAAGCACATCAAAAGTGTAAGGCAGCCAGACTGATGGAACCTCCAGCTGACTCTCAGCCATTGTAAAACAGAACATGGCATGGCAGAGTGACAGCAAAAACAAAGTTCAAATTGAACAAATGTGCAAAATTACACATATGAGTGACTAAGGCTACCATTTTCAACTTGCCTCAAAACCCACTTGGCAAGCAGGAGTTTCCCACAGTTCCCTTCACAGCCCATCAGTCAGGCCGGAGAGGAGCGGGGGCCTGACTGTCAGGGGTCAGTGCTACGCTGAACATGGAGAGAATATGAAGCAGCTGCCTGGGACAGGAGAGCCTGACGTGTCACCATATGTGCGGGTGTGTGTGTGTGTGTGTTTCTCAACTTTATTCGAGTCTTTACATAAATGATTATGTGTCGTGGTCAAACATTGTCATGCATTAATGTATTAAACAAGTGTAGAGCTTTTCATTTGCAAGTTGTATGCCGCAGTGGGTTCAGAAATATTTGAAAGGGGGAATACGTTTATAAAATTAACAAAAAATATGTTAACACTCACATTTAAAGCCCTGGTTGTTGGCAAAAACTTCACATTAATAATAGTTACATTAGACTAATAAATAAATACTAAATGAACAAATAATAGGAATAATTGCAGCTCCAAATAACCTACAGCAGCCACCTGGACATAGACATTGTAAAGCCACTCCCCATCTACTTTGCGACTGTAGTTGTTTTGTGTCTCTTTGTGGTTGTTTTGTGTCTCTTTGTGGTTGTTTTGCATCTCATTGTACTCAGTTTGCATATCTTTGTAGTCATTGTGCTTCTTATTGTAGTCAGTTTGCATGTCTTTGTAGTTATTGTGCACCTCTTTGTGGTCATTTTGCGTCTCTTTGTGGTCATTTTCGTGTCTTTTCTTACTCATTTTATGTTGTGTTTTGCCTCTTATTTTGCATCTCTTTGTGGCTGTGAAGCATCCCTGTCTATGTAGTCATTCTACTGACTTTCCAACAAGAAAAGTTCACAATCGGCTCCATTTGGCCATGATACTAACAAGCCAACTATTTATCACCTTCTGACTCATGGTGGCCCATGCTACCCCTGGCCACCGCTGGCCACCCCTCCAGCCCCAGCCCTGATTTTATGGACAAATTTGTAAGTCAATCAACTCCAGCGAGGAATGTGAAAGTTGCTGCTGCCAACACAAATGCCTCTTGACAAAATCATGGCAACCCCGCATGCAAAGTCATGGGAAATTGTCTCACTTCCTTGATGCCTGCCACCAGCGAATGAAAGTACTCTCCCATAAGCACACCTCTCCTCAGTATCTGAATGTCCTACAGCAGGAATCCAGGCAGATCATTAGCACCAACCACTGTGCATCCCCACTGCCAGACCATATGGACCCACAGCTCAATTAAAACAACCCTCCCCTGGGTCTTCTTCTTTTATGCTTAGGTGTCAGGCCCCCCTTATTATTTCTTCTTTGGAAGACATGCTCAGTCTGGCTTTTCTGCGGTTTTATCTGATGACACGCTCACACACAAAAAGCGGGATGGTGAAAGGCGGCATCCGAGATGGATGCCACAAGTGACAACCTTTTGTTTTAGTAAAATACACTGAGATGCTGGCTTTGCAGAGGCAAAAGGCGGAGGCCAAGGGGAACAACTTGTTCACTTGTTCCGTTTGGTGGAGCAAACCATGGCACCGTCGGAACTTGTTACTTTTCCAGGTTTGTTTCGCTGTGGCTCAGGGGGGCTTGAGCTGTTGATATAAGCCCCCACCCCCCCGCTCTGCTGAAAATAAGCATCAAATACACTCGCTCGGTGCTGCTAGAATAAAAAGTCAGATCTGGCTTCAAATGACGTCGCGCTTTGTCCTCCTCTCTGAATAGTTTACTGGCTCTAAGGTGGCAGTTTATACTCTACGTGCCAAAAATGTCAATAAAACCGCCGTAATCGCCCATCCGATCTGTAATAGCACCTGCTTAAGGAAACACAACACGCCCCTGCAGTCTATCTGTACAGCTGCAATGTTTCCTTCCTATTAAACCACTACTACACTCGGAAACACGGGTCAGAACGCCATTACGCTTTCGGACCAGCGCACTTTGTTTGCTGAAATGACTTCCTGCCATTTCTTTTCTTCTGAGTGTTGATAAAAATCAATGGTCAACAAAGTGCATACATTTCTTATTGAACAAAATATATAGCTTCTGAAACTTGGGAAACAACACTTAAATTATTCTCTTTTATCTTGGCATAGAGGAGAATACTCGGTTTGAAAAATGTTTATTATGACAGCTTAATTGTGCATTTAGGTTTCTTTTCAATTTTTATAAATATAATATCAGTTTCTCTTACAAAATAATATTACTGAATGCAACAATTTATTTAAGCTATTTCCATTTTATTTAAGCCTAAATCTTACTTAATGTATTTACATTTAAAGAATGTATTTTATGTAAATATACGTCACATTCTTCTGTGCTTGTGTCAGCAGTAGTTTATTTTTGTTGACATATAAAACGTTATAATAACTCCACCGAGGAGACAGTTTGATTTTCGAACAAGTAATTTCATCTGTTTAATTAAGTTTAAATGTTTCATTGATGAATCAGTCTCTTGATTTTAAAAATCACGCTAGTTCTTTTACAGTTTAGGTCGTGGGGTTTCAGCTTGAGGCCTTTTTCTCTCCCTTTGCCTCAACAAAAGATTTATTTAGTCACAACCAAATTAATTATGATCTAATTTAAGGTCAGACCACCACCATCTGTGTCTATAGCATAAACATTTATTTAGAACAAAATCAAGACAAAATCAAAAGCATTATCTTTTCAGACTAGAGTTGTTTCTGTATTTCATTCCCAGTAAGAAAATAAAGTAAATACAACATTTACATTAACGAATAAACGTCAGGCTGGTGCGTCATTTTGTGCGTAACTGCAGGATATAGTGATTATACTGACTTACTACAGCAGCTTTTACAGGAATCGAATAATATAATTAAGTTAAAAAAGGTCAAATAATTCCACCAGGAAGGACAAAAGAGAGGATGACTTACCGACACACTCGTTGGCCTCTCTGGCCGTGGCGCGCTGCCAAGGTCGGTCATAGTGGAAAGGTTTGCACCTGTCGCACTCCGGTCCCGCCGTGTTGTGTTTGCACTCACAAACCAGATTCCCCTCTCTGTCCTTGACGCATTTTGAAGCGTGCCCGTTGCACTTGCACCGTCCCCCGACCTGCAGGTCCGACACGGCGTAAAAGTAGGAGTCGCGGGCCAGTTCCGAGTCGTCCTCGTTCTCGTCCCCGAAAGTGTGAAGCCGACTGAAGATCACCTTGATGTCGGTGGCAGTCACCCAGTCCTGCAGCACCGGGGAGTTGTCGAAGTCGTGCGCCGACGGTCTGCCGTCCAGGGTGCTGAAGGCGATGAGTCCACCTGTCAGAGGGTGCATGTCCGTGTGGGAGTCCGTGCAGATGGCCTCTTGCTCATTCTGCTTGGTGATTGCTGCCTTATTCTGCCTGTTGTACATTTTCTTGCACTGGGTGGAATAATACTGAAACGGCACCCACGACTTGCCATAGTCCATGGACTTGTAGATTGCCATCGACTCAGGTCTGGGTGAGCAGAACTGCAGGCTCACATAGGTGACCTCAAACTTTTTCCCGAGCGACAAGGTGAGCGTGACGTTCTGCGGGTACTGCACGTAGTTTTCAGACTGCCAGCAGGTGAGGTTGTGAGGGTTGTTGAGGTCTGTTAAATACGCAGGAGGGTGAGACTTCTTGGGGTCCCCGGCGTCGCACGTGTGACAGTCCCTCGTCCTCTCCTCTCCCTTCTCGGTCACCACGCAGTACCTGGCGGTGGGGTTGCCGCAGGTGCTGGATACGCGCACGTCCTTACCAAACGCGGAGTTAACGAAGTCGGGGATGCATCTCCGAGGGTTCCCGTTCTCGTCGTAGCACGGGTCTGGAGGAGAGGACTGTGCAGCAAACATGCTCAGCCCGTATCCTCCAAAGACCCCCTTGGTTAGCGCAGAAACGGTCACCAAGGTGACCCAAACCTCCAAAATCCTTTGCATTGTAATCCGTGCACCGCAGGGACTCTTGCGCTGAAATGTGATGGAGACAAAATCATCAGAGTTAATGACACTAGAGTGAAGTGAAGACAAAACCAAGACGAGCATACAAACAGTTGGAATAAATGATGCTCAGATTGATAGATGGAAAACTTGGACGCACAAGCGAAGCATGTAACAGACTAAATGTGAATAAAATATTCTTACGAGGCAAAGAAAACTCCACCCAGGACACTACCTCCAAATAAACTGCTCAGTCTGAAAGTGTAGCACAACTCCTAAGAATTTGGAGAACAACCTATCCCGTTTACGCACGGAAAACTGCTGCTGTAGTACTTCAGCCTTCCCCCCCCTCTGTGAAACAATCCCTAAATAAAAATAAGATATGGCAAAAGCCCAGCTGGCTCCGAGTCTCCCTCTGCCTCTGTCTGTCCACTCAGTTACACCTCTGCCCACCTCTATCTCTGTCTGTCCCATTCCCTCTCTGTTATAATAGAAAAAAAGGGGGTCCGCTCACTCAGAGGAGAGGAGTCGGAGCCTTTTGAGTGTCTGTGCGGAGGGAGAGGGAGCGGCGACCTCTCCCGGCAGACTGTGTGCACTACATGTTAAAGAAATACTCAACTTCAGTCACAATTACGCGGCTAGTGGAGAGAAATATGATTAAATGAAATCTTGTGATTTGAAGATATAATAAGGGTAACACGTGTATTTATAGCGTAATTGTCCCTTAACACGTGACACCTTACCTTTCCTTTTAATAATTATTTTATTTTGTCAACTTGCCATAATTACTGTAACAAACACTTATTTTGAAAGTGCATAGTGAATTTGTTGCACCATTTACTGAAATACAATCTGTACATCTGAACAATATTAACTCTAAACTGGGGGAAAATATTTTTAAAACTAATAAGGTCAGTGTCACTTCTTCCAAATAATTTGGGCTCAAATAACACAATTTAATATAATT